ATGATAGGTCCCAGTGGAATCTAAATATGTAAAATGCAAAAATTACCATATATATATAAATATATAAATTAAGTCTATTATCCGAAATAGAAATGTGCTTGTTTGAAAATAAAAGGAAATTTAGGGGTTTTCGTACAAAAAAAAAACACAAACAAGATCGAAGTGGATAGAGATACTGCGATTCACTTTGCCGAAGCGATCAGAGAATTTTTTTCCGCGTTGCATAAGGGGGAAAGACGAGGTACAGCATTCACGACGTCGTTTCTCTCCTGATTTCGCCCCTTTGATTCTCGGGTATTCACTCTCTCGCCTCGCTAATTTTCTCTTCAACCAAACAATAGATTCTGGTCGAATTCCATTTTCCCTTTCGAAATTCATAATACCTAGTAAAAATGGAATTAGTGTAATAATTTCTAGTAAATTCTAACTTGCGATTTTGTTTTTTCTGTTTCGTTTGTGATTATTTGAAATGTTTCATGTAGGATTAATAGATCAAGAGATGACGCCGGTTTGCCCTTTTGTTAAAGCGGCGCGTCATCCGGACGCGCAGTCGTTGAAGAAGCACGGGGCGGATCACGAGGCTAAGGGGAGGAAGGACTCCGGTGACTCCGCCACCATCTCCCCCAAGTGCCCTTTTGGATTTGATTCCCAAAGTTTCAAGATTGGTCCTCTCAGTTGTGTGATATGCCAAGCACTTCTTTTTGAAAGCAGCAAATGCGTGCCTTGTTCTCACCTATATTGCAAGTATTGTTCTTTTCATCTTGTTCATTATTTTCCCATTAAAGATTCATCCTTTTGTTACCCTTTTTTTATATTAATTGCTTTAACTGTCTTTTTATTTTTTTTCTCTCTTTTGGTGAATAAAGAGCATGTATATCGCGATTTAAGGACTGTCCATTATGTGGAGCTGATATTGAGAAGATTGAAGCTGACACGAACCTTCAGAGTATGGTAGATAGATTTATTGAAGGTCATGCCAGAATCAAGAGGTCTCATGTTAATACAGATAATGAGGAAGTTGTAAGTGATAATAAGAAAGTGATTTATGAAGATGTATCATTGGAGAGAGGTGCTTTCTTGGTGCAACAGGCCATGAGGGTAAGTTTGCTGATTTTCTGCCATTGCTATTTTTAGTGAATCTTGTGTATTTTGGGCTGAATTTGCTGTTATGATTGCCAATAAAAAAAATTTGCTGTGATGAGTTGATGTTAGTGTGGCTAAAAATCCCTGATTGTTCTTAATTAGCTGCAGACATTTCAATTCTACCAATCTAATTCTTGATCCTTTAGAGTTACATATATACCATCAACTTTAATTTTGGGTTGTGCTAGGCATTTCGTGCCCAGAACATAGAAAGTGCCAAATCTAGACTCAGTATTTGTGCTGAAGACATCCGAGATCAGTTGGAAGGCAAGGGCAACACGCCTGAGTTGTGCTCACAGCTTGGGGCAGTTCTTGGTATGCTTGGTGACTGCTGGTATGTCCCCTTTATGTCTGTCTGTGTAGAGACTTAAGCAGATATCACTACCTGATTATGTTTCTGTTGTAATAGCTTCTATTTGTACCTTTTTGTGTTGATCTTGAACTTAGCCTATTTACAAACATTCAAATGACTTGGAGCAAGTGTAAGAAAACTCTAAGGATAAAGAGGGATGATGTCTCTCTTGAAACAACATACATTCATAGGGACAGCTCCAGCTGCAATGTGTATCATGTACCAATGTCATGCTGCCTTGTTTAGACATGCTTTATGTTGGGCATCTAGTTTAAGGAAAGATTTTCAAATAGAAATATTGAGCTATTAGGTCCGCAAAGCATGCTGCACCTTAAAGTGGACCCTTTGTAAATATTTACTTATATGCTTTTGTGGATGAAGGCCTATACCATAACTGGTTTTATCTAGGATGCAGTGTGTTCTTTTTCTAGACAGAAGTTAGGCACAACAACTAATTTAACTGCATCATGGGAGATGAGCTATCTACTTTTTACCCTCCACTTGGCGAATTGATAATAACTGGTCATTTTTCTCTTCAGCAGCCATTTCAAGTAGTCAAAATTTGCTTCAAAATCAATTCTCCTTTAAACTATAATGGCATTGGAAATTCTAGAAAGAAAGAATCATTGAAAAGTCTTGACAAGGCTGAATGGATGTATAGAGGTGATGAAAATGGTCAGTTACAATTACAATTGGTGTGGCATCACATAGAGCATACTGGCCTCATAGTTTCTTTTATACCCTTGAAAATATATATTACTGATGTATTCATTTTAGTAAATGGAAACCCTCACTTTTTTTGCAGTCGTGCTGAGGGAGATGCTGCTGGTGCAATCAAGTATTTTGAAGAGAGTGTTGAATTTCTTATGAAATTGCCAACAGATGATCTAGAGGTTATATAGCATTAGTACTTCATGACATTTGTAGCTTATGCTTCGTTGAACTATTCTATCCTGATTATGTTGTTACTGTATCATACAGATTACACATACGCTATCTGTTTCACTTAACAAAATTGGAGATCTTAAATATTATGATGGAGACCTGCAAGCTGCAAGATCTTACTATTTTCGTTCATTGGGTGTTCGCCGTGATGCTGTCAAGAATCGATCTGATGTTCCTTCCCAGGTTAGCAACACTTGATTATCACTCTTTCTTACCAGGACTTGTAATATTATAGCATGTTTCATTTGTTTGTTTCTCTTGATTTGGACAACATAACTGTTTCCATATATTTGTTTCTATTGAGGGATTTATAATTGAAATGCACTGCATGCATGAATGGGGAAACTCTAATTTTCAAGTTTAGAAGATTTGTTGTTGAAAAACATAGTATTAACAACTTTGCATTTGCCCTGTTGCTTTTACACTGCTGCAGGTTCTAGATGTAGCAGTTTCCCTTGCAAAAGTTGCAGATGTTGACAGGAATCTAGGAAATGAGAATGTGGCTGTTGATGGATTTCAGGAAGCCATAAATATGTTAGATTCCTTGACACTGAAATCTGAAGAAGCTAGTCTTGAGCAACGGGTAAGGTTTCCTTTCCTGGCTTCACTTTCTGCCAAATTTCTTAACTTCATCTTAGGGCATGCACATCAATCCATAGAAGCTGATTTTTTTCTTTTTTTGTTTCAACATTCAGCGTCTTTCAGTGCTCGAATTCCTCAAAAATCAGCTCGAAGATAAACAATCTGAACAAGCTCCATGAGGTCAGGTCTCTTCCAAACTAAAAAAATAATCAACAGACCCCTGTTTCTGTATATACGCAAGCTTTAGTTGTTTTAATAATTAGCTCTGGCCATCCCTGTAGTACTATGTCCCGGATTCTCGTGAGCGTTTTCTTTTCTCCCCAGCAGCCCTGGGTGAGGGTCGATGCCTTGTATGCCAAAATAAATTGTAAATTAGGGATTGTTGTTATTGTTGGTACTGCTATCCATGAGATACACATTGTTAGACCTTTGTAATCCTGCTTTTTTCTTATTAAAAAAATTTACAAAAAAAAAAAAAAAAAAAAAAACAAAACGGAATCATTAGAATTCATGAATAAGCAAATGGTATTAAAGATTGAATGGCTGTACACAGCTCATAATATTCCGACGTAAAAAAAAAAGGCCAAGAAAAGAGAAAAAGCAAAGAGTGTAATTAACACTCCAAATATGAAAACGTAAAGGATTACAATACTAGGAAAAATTCCCATGGAATAAAGGAACATGAGATAGGACATGTGAACTGAGCATTGACCTAAGTGTTCTTCACAACCTCTTTTCCAAAAGAAAGACTCCTCTACTGCTTGTATTTTAAGTCTATGATTCCACTTTTCTAATATCCAATCAAAATGAGATTAGATGGAAAAAAAATTAAATTAAATTTACCATTCTAGAAGAATTGGGTCTTTCTTCTTGCTTTTTCTTAAAAAAAGTAATAAATATTTGCTTTCAGTCTTTTTCTACAATTCAATTTGTTTGTTTAGATTTGTTTAGGTAAAACCACAATATACACATTGTA